TAATAAGTGGCAGAATAGTAATAAGTAGCAGAACAGTAATATGTGGTGGCAGACCAGTAATAAGTGGTGGCAGACCAGTAATAAGTAGCAGAACAATAATATGTGGTGGCAGAACAGTAATATGTGGTGGCAGACCAGTAATAAGTAGCAGAACAGTAATATGTGGCAGAACAGTAATATGTGGTGGCAGACCAGTAATAAGTGGCAGAACAGTAATATGTGGTGGCAGAACAGTAATAAGTAGCAGAACAGTAATAAGTGGTGGCAGACCAATAATAAGTGGCAGACCAGTAATAAGTGGCAGAACAATAATAAGTGGCAGAATAGTAATAAGTGGCAGAATAGTAATAAGTGGCAGACCAGTAATAAGGGGCAGAACAGTAATAAGGGGCAGAATAGTAATAAGTGGCAGACCAGTAATAAGGGGCAGAACAGTAATAAGTGGCAGAACAATAATAAGTCGCAGAACAGTAATAAGTGGCAGAACAATAGTAAGTGGCAGAACAGTAATAAGTGGCAGACCAGTAATAAGGGGCAGAACAGTAATAAGGGGCAGAATAGTAATAAGTGGCAGACCAGTAATAAGGGGCAGAACAGTAATAAGTGGCAGAACAGAAATAAGAAGCAGAACAGTAACAAGTGGCAGAATAGTAATAAGTGGCAGAACAGTAATAAGTGGCAGAATAGTAATAAGTGGCAGACCAGTAATAAGGGGCAGAACAGTAATAAGGGGCAGAATAGTAATAAGTGGCAGACCAGTAATAAGGGGCAGAACAGTAATAAGTGGCAGAACAGAAATAAGAAGCAGAACAGTAACAAGTGGCAGAATAGTAATAAGTGGCAGAACAGTAATAAGTGGCAGAACAATAATAAGTGGCAGAACAGAAATAAGTGGCAGAACAATAATAAGTGGCAGAACAGTAATAAGTCGCAGAACGGTAATAAGTGGCAGAACAATAGTAAGTGGCAGAACAGTAATAAGTGGCAGACCAGTAATAAGTGGCAGACCAGTAATAAGGGGCAGAACAGTAATAAGTGGCAGAACAATAATAAGTGGCAGAATAGTAATAAGTGACAGAATAGTAATAAGTGGCAGACCAGTAATAAGGGGCAGAACAGTAATAAGGGGCAGAATAGTAATAAGTGGCAGACCAGTAATAAGTGGCAGAACAGTAATAAGTCGCAGAACGGTAATAAGTGGCAGAACAATAGTAAGTGGCAGAACAGTAATAAGTGGCAGACCAGTAATAAGGGGCAGAACAGTAATAAGGGGCAGAATAGTAATAAGTGGCAGACCAGTAATAAGGGGCAGAACAGTAATAAGGGGCAGAATAGTAATAAGTGGCAGACCAGTAATAAGGGGCAGAACAGTAATAAGTGGCAGAACAATAATAAGTCGCAGAACAGTAATAAGTGGCAGAACAATAGTAAGTGGCAGAACAGTAATAAGTGGCAGACCAGTAATAAGTGGCAGAACAGTAATAAGTGGCAGAATAGTAATAAGTGGCAGACCAGTAATAAGTGGCAGACCAGTAATAAGTGGCAGAACAATAATAAGTGGCAGAATAGTAATAAGTAGCAGAACAGTAATATGAGGTGGCAGAACAGTAATAAGTGGCAGAATAGTAATAAGTGACAGAATAGTAATAAGTGGCAGACCAGTAATAAGTGGCAGAACAGTAATAAGAACTCAAATTATGCCTACGAGTGTGGAGGTTAAAACTTAAACAGGGTTGTAGCATTACATGCAAGGTGAACCCTTCATTATCTTCCAAAGCGGAAAAATCATTCTTACCAATTATAAAAATCTGTTCGTCTACCCCTATACCTGAAATATATTGACAGGTGTTTTGTTTTCGGTTTCTCCATAGCAGGAAACATGTTAATTCGTATATGACTATGGTCTAAACTTTTTAGCAGCTAACCATATAAAGAGAGTATATAGATATATTTCATGAATTGTGTATGGTTCTGTGTATAAGTGTCTTGGAACGTGACGAGTACTTGAATAATACATGCTTGTTAGTAAATTGATGGTTCATAGAAAGTCCAAGTATGGATAAACCATTATCAATTTTGATCGATGAAGTTACGGTATATGCTGAGTGATGACAAGAACATTGGAAAAGCGTGAAATCTATTTTTATATGTGTTTGCATATTAGAAATGACAAAATGCAAGATATATAAAACAGATGTGTTATTAACAAAAGAAGACGCTACAATTTGCACAAATGTTTGGCTATGCAACTAAGGATCTTATTACAGTTAGTTAAAAATGTAAAGGCTTCCTTTGTCAGAAACACATTTCTATAAATAGTATAAGGTTTGATTGCAGTGTGGCTCCGCAACTGTTAGATATCGTTCGACTTAACACAATCTTTATCTTTTGAAACACGTTTAAAATCGATCTTAACGATGGTAAAAATATAGTGACAGTTCCATCAGAAAGTGATTACATCAATTGAAATAAAATTAACTGATATCACACTTCTCAAGCACGTTCAGCCGTTTATTTCCTATTTTGTGTGCCATTTTAGTCAATCGTTGTTTTCAACTATTTTTGTTTAATTAGAATTTCGTAAAGGTCGATGTCCTTACTATTCTATATGTACGTTTACCACATATATTATAACTTCTTCATGTACGTCACTGTGGCATAAACTCAGACGAAATATAATTAGTTCGATGATATATAGCCTTCAAACGGAATAACATCATTATAAGAATGACTTTTTAAGTAGCTGCTTCATTTTTTGTATTTAAGTGATGGTGTTTTGTTTACCTGCACAGGAAAGTCCATACTTTGAAGCAATGTCCTCCATTCAAGTCATGTCCTGAGTGTTTATCCTAACCGTAGGGGCGGTATCTGTTGTGACACACCTGTAGACTAGTTTACCTAAACACTGACCTACGTGTCCGACTTACCTGACGCTGTGCCTGTCGCATACCTTAACATGCCATATAAATGCACTAACAGCAGTACAGGAAGCAACAGCTGCTAAGCGTTAGAAATGTGGGCCTTGAAGTGAAAGTATTGTCAACTTAACCAGCATTCCAGGATGACCTGGTCCTATTCTAACCGTACTTTATCAAAGGTTTCCATGTAAACCATTCCTTTGCATATTTTACACTAGTTTTATCGATTTTCAATTTGACTCTTCGGTATTCTCTTGTCTCTTTTTCTTATGTATTTTATACAAAGAAAATAATTCTTTCGTAATGTATCATAATTACAAAGTCAATATTGATTACTTGTGTCATTTTCAAGAAGACGCACTATTTTAAGGGATAGATATACATTCACTATAATGAATTCAGTTAGATCAGAAAGTGGTTGCCCTTTGGGTCCAGTTCTGATTTCGTGCAGGTTAGAAGTAAAAAATCTTTATTTCAATTTCTTCAAAAATTATACAGATGTCTAGCTTTCAAAAGGTTTGTTATATTGGCGATAAGCTGCCTATGTTATAACAAAAGGTATGTTATATTGGCGGTAAGCTGCCTATGGTATAAAAAAGGTATGTTATATTGGCGGTAAGCTTCCTATGGTATAACAAAAGGTATGTTATATTGGCGGAAAGCTGCCTATGGTATAACAAAAGGTATGCTATATTGGCGGTAAGCTGCCTATGGTATAACAAAAGGTATGTTATATTGGCGGTAAGCTGCCTATGGCATAACAAAATGTATGTTATATTGGCGGTAAGCTGCCTATGGTATAACAAAAGGTATGTTATATTGGCGGTAAGCTGCCTATGGTATAAAAAAGGTATGTTATATTGGCGGTAAGCTTCCTATGGTATAACAAAAGGTATGTTATGTTGGCGGTAAGCTGCCTATGGTATAACAAAAGGTATGTTATGTTGGCGGTAAGCTGCCTCTGGTATAACAAAAGGGATGTTATGTTGGCGGTAAGCTGCCTCTGGTATAACAAAAGGTATGATATGTTGGCGGTAAGCTGCCTATGTTATAACAAAAGGTATGTTAAATTGGCGGTAAGCTGCCTATGATATAACAAAAGGTATGTTATGTTGGCGGGAAGCTGCCTATGGTATAAAAAAAGGTATGTTATATTTGCGGTAAGCTTCCTATGGTATAAAAAAGGTATGTTATTTTGGCCGTTAGCTGCCTATGGTATAACAAAAGGTATGTTATATTGGCGGTAAGCTGTCTATGGTATATAACAAAAGGTATGTTATATTGGCGGTAAGCTGCCTATACTTTTAACAACCTCTCCATTGTTGATTTGTAATTTGCGACTACATATTAGCGCACATTAGGAAAGGTTCCAAAGGATGTAAATGCGGGATCGCGGAATGCTGCGTTAAATGATATGTTACTGAGGTTGTCTTCCTATATATCACGATTAAAAGTATGTAAATGAAAGTGGATCCAGTATGGCAGGGACAACAGGTACGAATCTATGGTTTTATAAAGGTATGTTATACATTAGTGGAGGCCTCCAAGGGGATATTGGGGCAAAACCAACCTTTAGATGACCTTCAAAAGTGTGATAGCCAGTGCGGGTTAGCGTGGATAATATTCTAAGAAAATCCCTTGCCAGAAATGTATATATTATTTGAATAATACATAACTTATCTTTGTACAACGCGGACGCCATAAAACGACATTTCAGTACTCTTTATTGCACCACGTATACGCCGAGAGGCGTTAAATTATACAAGGGAAGGAGGACAGGGAAATCCGTGTTTAGTAGGAAAGTTCACTCAGGTCATTCATTATAATCACAATGCAAAACTTAGCTCAATGTGAAAATGTATGAATGATGTATGGTATATTTTTCTTTAAGATATTTTTATGAAAATTGTATTATAATGAATAAACCCCTCTCAAATGCTTAAAATGATATATATATTAACAAGAGTGATAAATATAGGTTTGAAAAACAGAATGATTAAAAACCTTAACAACTTGTGATGACTGTAGGATAAAAGACAGAATATATGTTTATAAAGATTGATGATATTGGACGACACTTACCTATATCCTGCTCTTTCATAATGTGTAACTTCCCAGCTTAAAAACAGAATTATGTTTACATAAGTAAAGGATATACAAAATATGTTGTTTGATCAACTGCTTCTAACTATCCTCAAAGTATATTCTATGATCGTACATAAAGTTTTCATTCTTCATCTAGTGATGATGTTATTTCCAGGACTTTGTTAGGAAAACCCTGAATTCATTAAACATGTCTTTATAAGGTACACGGGAAACTACGCATTATGACCATAGGCTTGTTTGGGAGTTTTCATGGAACCATGACGTAGACCTTGACCTCTCCGTCAGACGTGAGGTTAATGTCTCCGCGAGACACAGGTAAGCAGTCCCCATGAGACAGGTGATTTTAATATATACTAGAATACATGAGGTCGAGCACTGGGAACTTGAGCGAAGGGATAATCCTATGTAATGGCGGTCATAAGAAGAAACAGGCAAACGTTGTATACTTTGGGTTTAAAATTAATTTCCTAGAGATAACAGTTGAAACAAATTCATAAGTCACCAAAACGAAATATCACCGAAAACAAATACAACAGGTAACCTTCACTTAATTAATAACGGCAGTGCTTACAAAATAGAAAATGTCGAGCAACCCGCCCCTTTGACAAGACACAAACAATCACATAGCGCAAATTAAACCACAAGATAAAGAACAATGCGTATATGATTACAACTGGATTATTAATCTGACATTCAAGCATATGCCTTTGACCGAATGGTATAGCTTTTGATAATGAAGAATGCATGTTTGGATTGTTTTTAGGTTTTAAATAATTCATTCCACAACACAATTTATTTTTTCACTTCTGTGTGATATGTAAATGTACATAAATATAATTAATCAGGGCAGGCAGGGTTTGCGACATGTTCACCTTGTCAAGAGTGTAACCGGGAATGATTGATGTCTACGCCATACAACATTGTTGTTGTTGTTGGTTCGCACTGAGTGACGTTAACGCTATCTCACATAATTACAGTACCGTACTACACTATTCTACTTTAGAAATAATGTTTTCTGATAGTTATTATCAATTATCACCTTTCTAAAACCGGATATGACTGAGGTTACACTATTCGGTAATTTTATACAATTTACACCAGGAATCGTCTGCTAATAACGAATAGAGTAATATGCGGCCTACACACTGTGCCATCTGACTGGTTCGGAATTTTCCTTTGTAAAATATATAATCAATTTAATTCAAAGAGTGACTTTATTTTCATTAAGTATGAATCAACCATCTAAGACATTATAATATAATTAGAATCGTTTACTGTAATTAAAGTATATCAAACATCGAAGACATTTCATAACGATTATGACGTTTTTCACCCTACTGGATTAGTGCCATCCATTTCGAATCTGTTGTAATACAAGAGGCCCAAGGGCCTTAGCGATCACCCGAGTTATATTATAGGTACTAGTAGCTCAATTTCATTGTTGAGATGAACAAAGTGAAATACAATACTTGTCATGTCAGTGTCCAAAGGAAAACAACTTAAAAAACTATTCAAATAAATTAGTTTACTATTGAGAATTATACCCTCTCCCTAAGGGAGAGCAGATGACCTGGGGGATAATGAAATTTACAATTAAGGTGATTAAGGTAACTGAGTCTGATGAAGATTTTTTGAAACTTTTAACCATAATCCCCATTTGGGCCCCACAACTCCAGCCCCTGGGGATGGGGCAGGATCTTTTTTCCTCATACCATCTAATTGGCTATTGGCATCATAATCATTCCAACCAAGTTTAAATATTTTCCTGCTGAAAAAGGACAAAATATACCTAAAAGTGTTATTTCCCTTTATAAACTATAGTAAATTTAATTTAGTTAAACAAAGCCCCTGATGATCTTTCCATACATGCAGAGAAGTTGACTGTAGTAGCTCTGAATCTGGAGAAGAAGATTTTTGAAACACTGGTTACTTTTCCCTTTGGGATTCCGCCCTAGTCCCTGGGGTTGTGGCAGGAATCCCAATTTTACATTTTGATACCATTTATTCTCAACAAGTAAGAATAATTTACTACTGAAAAAGAACAAAATATACCCAAAAGTGTTGTTTCCCTAGATAAGCTATAGTAATGTTTACCCCCTCCCAAAAGTAGAACGAATGGCCCGGGGTTAATGAAAGTTACAATTAAATTAAAGCCCCTGATGATCTTACCATCCATGCAGAAAAATTGACTGTATTACCTCTGAGTCTGGAGAGGAAGATTTTTGAAATATTGGTTAATTTTCCCTTTGGGGCCCCGCCCTGGCCCCTTGGGTTTGGGTATGTATCCCAGTTTTAAAATTTTGCAGCCTCATCTACCAAAGATGATTCTGACCAAGTTTGAAAATTCCATCCACTGGTTCTTGAGAAGAAGTGGAAAATGTAAACAGTTTACGCACGACGGACGACGACGGACGAAAAGCGATCTGAATAGGTCACTTGAGCAAAGCTTAAGTCAATACACTGTCTATTTAATCTTAATAGTGTAGGTCTGACGTGATTCATACAGGTCTGAGATGGCTGACACAATCTTAATAGTGTAGGTCTGACGTGATTCATGGAGTCTGTCCTAGATTATAACAGGTCTGAGATGACTGACACAATCTTAATAGTGTAGGTCTGACGTGATTCATGGAGTCTGTCCTAGATTATAACAGGTCTGAGATGGCTGACACAATCTTAATAGTGTAGGTCTGACGTGATTCATGGAGTCTGTCCTAGATTATAACAGGTCTGAGATGGCTGACACAATCTTAATAGTGTAGGTCTGACGTGATTCATGGAGTCTGTCCTAGATTATAACAGGTCTGAGATGGCTGACACAATCTTAATAGTGTAGGTCTGACGTGATTCATGGAGTCTGTCCTAGATTATAACAGGTCTGAGATGGCTGACACAATCTTAATAGTGTAGGTCTGACGTGATTCATGGAGTCTGTCCTAGATTATAACAGGTCTGAGATGGCTGACACAATCTTAATAGTGTAGGTCTGACGTGATTCATGGAGTCTGTCCTAGATTATAACAGGTCTGAGATGGCTGACACAATCTTAATAGTGTAGGTCTGACGTGATTCATGGAGTCTGTCCTAGATTATAACAGGTCTGAGATGGCTGACACAATCTTAATAGTGTAGGTCTGACGTGATTCATGGAGTCTGTCCTAGATTATAACAGGTCTGAGATGGCTGACACAATCTTAATAGTGTAGGTCTGACGTGATTCATGGAGTCTGTCCTAGATTATAACAGGTCTGAGATGGCTGACACAATCTTAATAGTGTAGGTCTGACGTGATTCATGGAGTCTGTCCTAGATTATAACAGGTCTGAGATGGCTGACACAATCTTAATAGTGTAGGTCTGACGTGATTCATGGAGTCTGTCCTAGATTATAACAGGTCTGAGATGGCTGACACAATCTTAATAGTGTAGGTCTGACGTGATTCATGGAGTCTGTCCTAGATTATAACAGGTCTGAGATGGCTGACACAATCTTAATAGTGTAGGTCTGACGTGATTCATGGAGTCTGTCCTAGATTATAACAGGTCTGAGATGGCTGACACAATCTTAATAGTGTAGGTCTGACGTGATTCATGGAGTCTGTCCTAGATTATAACAGGTCTGAGATGGCTGACACAATCTTAATAGTGTAGGTCTGACGTGATTCATGGAGTCTGTCCTAGATTATAACAGGTCTGAGATGGCTGACACAATCTTAATAGTGTAGGTCTGACGTGATTCATGGAGTCTGTCCTAGATTATAACAGGTCTGAGATGGCTGACACAATCTTAATAGTGTAGGTCTGACGTGATTCATGGAGTCTGTCCTAGATTATAACAGGTCTGAGATGGCTGACACAATCTTAATAGTGTAGGTCTGACGTGATTCATGGAGTCTGTCCTAGATTATAACAGGTCTGAGATGGCTGACACAATCTTAATAGTGTAGGTCTGACGTGATTCATGGAGTCTGTCCTAGATTATAACAGGTCTGAGATGGCTGACACAATCTTAATAGTGTAGGTCTGACGTGATTCATGGAGTCTGTCCTAGATTATAACAGGTCTGAGATGGCTGACACAATCTTAATAGTGTAGGTCTGACGTGATTCATGGAGTCTGTCCTAGATTATAACAGGTCTGAGATGGCTGACACAATCTTAATAGTGTAGGTCTGACGTGATTCATGGAGTCTGTCCTAGATTATAACAGGTCTGAGATGGCTGACACAATCTTAATAGTGTAGGTCTGACGTGATGCATGGAGTCTGTCCTAGATTATAACAGGTCTGAGATGGCTGACACAATCTTAATAGTGTAGGTCTGACGTGATGCATGGAGTCTGTCCTAGATTATAACAGGTCTGAGATGGCTGACACAATCTTAATAGTGTAGGTCTGACGTGATGCATGGAGTCTGTCCTAGATTATAACAGGTCTGAGATGGCTGACACAATCTTAATAGTGTAGGTCTGACGTGATGCATGGAGTCTGTCCTAGATTATAACAGGTCTGAGATGGCTGACACAATCTTAATAGTGTAGGTCTGACGTGATTCATGAAGTGTGTCCTAGATTATAACAGGTCTGAGATGGCTGACACAATCTTAATAGTGTAGGTCGGACGTGATTCGTGGAGTCTGTCCTAGATTTTAACAGTTTGAGATGGCTGTTTAAAACCTCTAAACAACTTCTTCTCAATAACCGAACATCTTAGGATAATGATATTTGGCCAGTAGCATGCTGGGATGAAGGGCTACTTAGTTTGATAAGTTCACGTTAATATTTTCATGTCAATATTTTTACGTTATGTTGCAAGTTAGTTTGTACTACAGTATTTCAAGTCTTGTTTCGCTATTCTATGTAAAATAATCATCATCGGATCCATCATAGGGTCGGTCGAATGATGCCTATGCCGAGGTTATCTGAACTGATATAGTTCTTCATTTGTATTTCAAGATAACGTTGTTGATATGACTTATTCCATAATTGAGTATAGGGTTTCCTGAGCGTGTTTTTGATACAGTATTAATACGTGTGTTTTAGACTACTACAAAATCAACAGTTTTCACTTTATCTTTATCTTCACTAGTTAAAGGTAGTTTTGACATGTACATGTACATTTCAGGATACAGTTACAGTACAGTACACCACCTATAAAGGAGCATGGAAATTATAATTCCTATAATTACAGTTAAGTCTATGCCGGATAAAATAGCTTAAAAAGACAGTGTTCCGAGACACGGTACCTTACATGAAGAAATCAGAAATGTAAATTCAGATTTATTTATTTTGAAAGTGCT